GCCGCCGCCGCCGCCGCCACGGCATGAGGCCAGCACGCGCTTCTAAGCGACCACACACGCTCTCGCATTCCAAACCACCCTCCAGCACACGCTGGAGATCTCTACTAGTCGGACGTTCCAGTGAAAGAACCTCCCCCAGCCACCTCATAGACTGCCGCTGGCGCGGCGCTGGGCGCAGGTCTCGGTAGTTGGTAGGTAGACGTGTGTATCATAATGAATAAAAAAAAAGCAACACAATTGAGGACTCGCTGGCTGGAGGCGAGAATGTGCAGCTGAAAGCTGAGATTTAAAACGTAAGTAATTCGAAGGAATCGAACTGCAGCTACAAGACTTGTACAGAAGAAACTTTAGCGAAGAGACTTTTAATGATGTATCGTAACATTAGGTGTACGAATAACCAATATTTCAATGTCGATTCGGGAGACAAAAGACAGAGAATGAGAATGAAGAAAAAAAGACGCACACGATTGTTTTGTTGCTGTGAGTGCAGAAACTTTGCGATGAAGCGGCTGAGTGCGTACAGTCCGCGTGTCGGGAGTGAAACGCTTGTGAAAAAAAAAGTGGGGAAAAGTTTTATCCTCCCGCTCTTGCCCCTCCTCCCTCTTTCTCACTCTCTCTCTCCGAGTGGTGTTCCTGAAGCTCCGGTGCTGATTCGCGCCCAGGGGCAGCTGCAGCCTAGTCCCTGCTCCTCCACTTGGCGCCGCCCGACCCGCGTCGGGCGCGCCGCGAGAGGTCTGCAAAGAACTCATCGCCGAGAGGTCGACTGTTTGGGTACTTTTTATGATGCAAGTGAAGTGATATATATTATACATAGACTATTTATGATCAAATTTTTCTACATTCTTTGTGTAAAAAGATAGATCTATGTGATCAAGTGAATTTTCTCCATTCCCTTTACTCGTTTCACGTGAATTCTTTAAGAAAACACAAACGTAAAACATACACGTATCTACATTGTACATTGCATTTGTGTATTGAATATGCCCTCTGTCCCGCAGAGGAAGCTGCCTTGGACCCAGCGTTTCCGTTTTGCGTACAAGACCAACGAGCTGTGCGTTGTGAAGGAAAACCGAGAGATGGAAAGCGGGACTCGTTATACCGAACTCGACACGAAGAGACTGAACGTGGGTTTGACGATTCATTTATTTTCCTGAGAGCCCACCGAGCAGTAGCGATGCCACTTGTTTCGTGAGAGAGTAAATTCGAGCACTTTTCCCAAAGACTTCGGCCGAGTCCTCTTAGCAACACAGACAGTGACCGTTTGCCGATGCACCATCTGTCCTTTTCTTCGTTTTCATCGTAGGGCGAAAGAGATTAGCCTTTATCTTTTCCTCAGGGGCGACAAAGACGCTTCGAGCTCGACGTAACTGCCGCCTCCCCTTCCCCCTCCGCGCGGCGCAAGCGCCCCTATCGGCCCCCTCATTACCGAACGACCGGCCCCGCCGCGCCGCCCCGTCCCGCCCCCACCCCACTGCCTTTCTTTGTTCCATCAGCGAGTACCTGGCCGTCGATGCGCCTTTGTCCGTACTAGTGCCGCGCCTCGCCGCCGCAGCGCTGCCAGTAATGAGCTCCGCGCGGCTGAAGAAGGAGCCGCCATTGTTCCGGCGTTCTGTAATTTATTCCGCCTTGCGTATTGCCAGGGCGAGCCCGCGCTCCAGAAAGCACTTCGGCGCCTGTAATTGTGGAGTTGTTTCGACGAGTGGAGCCTCGTTGAAAATTAGCTACGTATTATATTCACGCGGCGTCGACCAAGTCGTTATTTTTTCGCTGAATTGAGTTTTAATGCCGAAAGTAGTAAAG